ATTATGATCGGCTTTGTCCTCCTCTTCCCGCTCATCTACATCCCTGTTCTCAACACGGTTGTGTTCAAGCACGCGCCCATCGACTGGGAGTGGGGTATCGTCTTCATCGAGACTGGTATCTTCTTTGCCGGTATCGAGTTCTGGAAGTGGTGCAAGCGCATCTACTTCCGTCGTATGGCGGCTAAGCACGGTAATGGAAAGGTCGACAAGAACATGGAGATTGAGGACCGTGTCTTTGGTCGCTACTACAGCCGCGACTCTTCTGTTGCTGGCTCGGAGAACATGCAGGAGAAGGCTTAGAGCCTTACCTAGGGAGGAACTATATAAAGTGAGATATTGCAGGGTGAGGAGGCCCTGCTAGGAGTATGCGAGGTGGTTTTCTTGCTCTTCGCGAGCATGATACCTGCCTAGCACAAAAGTTAGTCATATAGAATGCTTAGACATGACGACAACGTGCATTACGATCCTTAGATATAATAAAGAAGATTACCACATCATACGTTCTACGTTCCCATCTTCTGAGAACTACTGTGTGCGACGTCCTCGTTACCGCTGCGAGTCCAAGCGACGGAATTCCCTTCTGGCGCTCGGGCACTCATGGGACCCATCGCACTAACCGCTTCGGGCGTGACTGCTAGCATCAGATACAGAAGGAACGAATGTGCAAGTACAAAAGATCGAGAATGCATTCAGAGTTGTTTTTGTCTGGGCGGTCTTCCTATGTATACACCTAGAGCGAGGCGCAGCCGCCGAAGTAAACTGCGGTATTTTGCATTGGTGCGACGCGGTAGCTTTGCGGCATTTTACTTTACCCCGACACCTTACCTACAGACCCTCCGCACCAGGCCGGCAAAAGATGAGATCGTCAAGAACACTATTTACGCAGCGAATCGCGGGATATGTGGGAGATGTGGAGGGTGTACACGTGGGTATGGGTATCTTCTGGCTGGGAAGTGCCGCACAAGAGTGACATAACGACGGAGACGGAGAAGATTTACGAGAGGGAAAAAAGATGAAGCATTCGTCTAAAAAATTGGTATTCGTCATGGAAGTGTAGTGGGAACACGTCAATCAAGAGAAAACCTGAACAGGCCTGCAGCCTACATCAACTTGAAAACCTACAAGATAGGTGACCTGGCGTCGATGTAGGCTCTAGACGTATTCAGGTTTTTTCTGGTATGAGGTGGGAATAGCTACCTGCCAGTACCTCTACCCTCCAAACAGGTAGGTAGAGATGCAATATGATACAAATCGCGCAACGATCTTCACCTAAACGACCAATCGCCCAGGCTCGGCTTCAAGCACCGTCTTTACGCGCTCGAGGAAAACACGACCGCGCTTCTCGTCGCCCTTGGGTACGCTCACACTGAATACGTTGAGGGGACCCGCGATACCTGCTGCGCCCGAAACAGGCTTAGCGGAAGTCTTCTTGCCGACTAGCATGTCGAGGATGTCCGACTTTGGTGCTGGGGCGCGCTTGCTGGGGATGGTGGTAGGTGGGAGCGCGGTGACTTCTGGGACGAAGTTGCCCCGCGAGTACTTTGAGGATACCTTGTCGAGACCCAGAACAGCGTTGAATAGCTCGTCGGCGGTTGGCTTTGCGACCTTGGATCGGGGGAGGTCTTCGTTGGCGAGCTCGGCGGCGCGCGCGACAAATGTTGACAGAGGTAGGAAGACGCCTATTGAGTCCTTGACGCGCTTCTGGCATTCCATTACTGCGGTGAGGGAGACGGGTAGTGCTACCTCGATAGGGAGGTCTTCGACAACCGCCGGTGCTTTGGCTGCTGGCTTCTTTGAGGCTTCCTTCTTGGGCATGGGCTTGATGTTGGAGAGGTCGAGGTGCGACAGCTTGGTGAAGCGACTCGCCAGCTCCGAAGGGTATGAGTTCTCGATCTGACCAACATATGCGAGCACGTCGCCCTTGAGCAGCCTGCCACCAGGACCGGTCGCGGGAATCTTATCAGCCTCCTCCTTTGGTAGACCATTGACTTCGAGCAAGTGTTGTACGGAGGGGTATAGCGGGTAGGTTTGCTTGGAGGCCTTGCCGCTGGAGGCTTTCTTCGAGGCATCGGATTTGGCAGGCGGGGCAGAGGTTCGCTCCTCCTTTGGTACAGGCGCAGGCTCTTTCTTGGACTCCTTGGGCGCTTCGGCCTCTTTCTTGGGCGCGAGGCTTTCTTCTGCGGGTATCTCGAGGGTGGACAGGTCGTCGCCGGGCTCTGCTGTGACGGCTATCCGTGTGCCGACCTGGACTGCTTTGGAACCGTCTTGGACCTGGAGTTCGTGTTAGCCATGGCCTGAAGCCAACTTATCTTCCCACGTACAGTGATCTTGGCCAGGATACCGTCATCCTGCGCTTCGACGTCCATCTGCGCCTTGTCCGTCTCGATCTCGAGCAGCACGTCGCCGGCGGAGAAAGAGTCTCCCTCCTTGATCTTCCAGCTCGCAATGTTGCCCTCGGTCATGGTCGGTGAAAGCGCAGGCATGTTGAAGCTTTGCGCAGCGAGCGAAGCCTGACTTGAGTGCAGTCCTCTCCGAGCACCTTGGTTGCGCAACTGCTGTGAGGCAGCCCGCGCCGAGACCCTACATACCGCGGCGAGCGAAGCCATGGGAAATCAATTGACAGGCGGAGACAATGGCAGTGGGAGGGTGTTGAGCGACGGTGCCGATCTGCTGGCCGAAATGTTGGGCGGAACAAGCTTCGGAGGTGTCGAGCGGGACGCGCTTGGGCCGCTTCTACTTTTTCCGACATATCGCGACGGCATCCAGGTATCCGCGCCCACATACTGCCGCATTGACTTGCTGGAGTATGCTCGGTGTATAGCGTTGCATCAAACACCCGTATCACTGCTATCACAATGCCCGCCTTCTCCCGGGGCTTCGACGCCTTCTTGCGCCAACACACCCTCCGCCTCCCCTCATCCCTCCGCGCCGCCCTCTTCGGAACACGGGAATCATTCTTCACACCCACCACGATACGCACGATACGGCAGAACCGCTCCTTTACTTCATCCGTGCTCCGACGCTACCAATACCCCAAGACCAATGTAGTCGCACCAAAACCCAGCTCATTCGTGAGCAGCGACCCCGTCCTCCGCCAAGTCGTCCAAACCCGCCAGCCAGTCCTTCTCTACCAAGCGCCCAAGAACAAGTGGTACTATCTGAAGGTGTACGGAACAGGAGCACTATGGATTGGTGTCGGTGCCTTTTCGATCAAGTTCAATGACGACATCAAAGACAATGGACTATCCTTCTTCGTCCGACCGACCTATGTCGTGGTAGGAGTCGGCTTCATCATCATCGGCTGCTATATCTGCACCGCACCCAGCAACCGCATGCGCGCACTGGAAGTCCTTCCCAGTCTGCAGGGCGGGCCCATGCAATTACGTATGGTAGTCAAGCCAGTGCCGTGGCTGAAAGAGCGCGTCATATACACAGATTTGGGCAAAGCGACAATAAGTGAGAAGACGGAGCCCATGGTGGCTGAGCTGCTCGAGGCAGAACGGTTCAAGCGCCAGAAGCTTTGGGATGACTTGGGACATATGAACATTGCGGCGCGTGTATGGGAGGGCTCTGCCCGGTGGGTGCATCAGAAATGGACGAACTTCTTTTTGAAGTTTAAGTTCGCCGTGCTGAGGTTTGGCATCGCGAAAGTCAAGGTGAGGGGAGATGAGTGGAAGATCGACTGCTCAGGGTACTTGCTCGAGAACGGCAAAGGTAAATCAACGTGGTTACAATACTGAGGTAGAATCTAACCAAGATGCAGCTGTTGACCGAATCATCCCTGAGGAATAAGACCTGGTACACACGCATAAGAAGGTACTCCAAAGCTCACGCGAGAGGCAGTACTTACTCTGCAACCGTAATCTCGCTGAGGTCACCGAAGCGCTAAGAGCACCACTGGTGGCGATAACTTCTACTTCAAGTCCGCCGTCGATATGGCAGAAGTGCGCACGACCTATTACGACCCATGGTGTTACACCATGTACGCGACTTGTACATAACGGCAAACAACTGTAGACTACTGTAAGATATCACTTCAACTCTGGGTGCAAAAGGGAAATGTCATGAACAAAACCTCATATACGACTTGTGAGTTGGAGATCTGCGGCTTATGATTTTGTCGCCAGCCCAGCCGTCTTGTCTCACTCGACTTGAAACGCAGGAACTTCAAGAACCTACCATGCTCGTCATACCTCTTCCTCCCGCGTTGCCCCACTCTCTGCGTGTTCATCAGATTTCTTCTAGCATTTGCCCTGATTCGTCATTCCCTTTCCGCGTTGGATAATGCAGGTCTTTGCATGCCCATCCATTCTTGATGAGAATGCAAAGACCTGCATTAGCCAGCGGCCGATACAGGACCTCAGCCGTATCGTATCGGAGGTCAGCTCCAATTATCACGCTACTGCTACGGCCTTTCGGGTGCGATCGTCGGCCTGGCAGCGCCGATCTCCAAGCCACAAGCCACAAAGCAGGCGCTACGCCTGTGCCAAGATGACACCGTGGTAGAGAAATTAAGGTTAAGGATTCGCTTCGCGGGATGATGTGTGCCGTAACGGTCTGTATGGCTCCCAGATCTGCTCCCTTGCTTCTTGACAGGGGTAATTCGACAATCTGGGAACGCAACGGTGAATGCAGTTAGGCATCGTCTTCGAGAACGAAGAAGCACAACTGCAGACATACACTCTTAGAGATATGAGTGGCTCGCGTACTCGTCATCGTCACTTTTCCTGTCCATTCTTTCCCCGTTTCACCACCCTATATATACCACCTACCCTCTCGACATCAAACAACACCATCGAAAACTAATCCAATCTACCTCCATCGCGTAGTTTCATGCTCTCTTCATAGCCCTTGCTATCCGCCGAGGTGCCCTTCTTCGACGTCATACACTTTAGTCATCCATTCCTGCTGCACACGCGACTGTCTCACTCCGCACTGGGCCCGGACGCAACGGTCGCCATAGTCGGTTTGAGCCCTCTTTGATAAACACGAAGAACATAATGTCTGTGAGATCCATGGAGCTAGAGACTTGGGAGCTCGAGGCATGGTACACGAACGGTCCCATGCCGGAGGCAATGGCCAAGTCAAGTTTCCGCGTTCATGTAGAGGAGAAAAGATACGCAGATAAGCACGGCGATTTCCGCTGTAAGTACCCATAGCCGTCGAAGTGGAAATCTTGCTGATGAACTGTTGCAGGCGTGGTCAAGCTTAAGATCAAAGACGAAACAAACCGTACATTCGTTGCTTCTGGGGTTGTTATAGGCCCTGACCTTGTTTTGACCTCGGCACACAACGTTCGATATCGTGGTGGGGAAGACTATGTGTCCCGCGCTGTGTCTGTCAGGGCGTACATTGGATACCACCGACAAGGCTCCTCTTCCAAAGGAGCCGGAGTACAAGAGCGTTCTGGCACAAGGGTCATAGTGCTCCAAGAGTGGGAAAGCTCTGGGTTCACCTGGCACAACGACATGGCTCTTGTCAAACTCGGGAGCCAATTTACTCAGGTCAAGCCGGCCCTCTACCAAGCTCCATCATCAGGAGAGTCGGACGTGCTCGTCGTTGGGTATCCTAGCAACAATACCACCCAAGTTCTCAATGCGTGCCCAGACTGCAAGACAGCCGGTTGCATGTACGAAGTGGCGGGCCAGGCCAAGTACAACGCCGCAAACTTGCTGGAGTACGAGCTTTCGACTATGCCTGGTAAGCCTACAAATTAAAGAGCCCGGTGAAATTCTGAGAATACTAACGGCGAGGCGTAGGAAACTCCGGAGGTCCTGTCTTCCTCGATAGCATGCCGAGAACAGTCATAGCCATACACAGCTCAGGCGATCCGATAAGGGGGCTCAATTACGCCGCTCCAGTCGACGTCGGATTCATCGAAGCAGGCAGGTTGTTCCTGAATCAGCCGCACATGTCTGCTCATCGATACGTGGTATTGTTCCAACAGGGCAACACCTCCACCTGGGTTATCTCCTGGACAGAAAGGGTATGGCCCAGCCAGGTCACAGCTCCAAGGTTCTTTCGGCTCTGCCAAATCACTCTCGCCTTACCACATGCTGAGAAAAAGCGAAGCCAGGGTACTGCTTCAGAACCAGGTCCGGACAGTGAGGAAGAAGAAGAGGGGTTCATCTTGATCCGCCGTAACCCACCCCAGGACGCTCCCGGCGCCCATCAACTCACCAGTCATCGGCAAAAGCGTCGATAACTATGACACCACTTTGCTCCTTACTCCACGTCAATGTCATACAACGTGGGCATCAGGCTCAGGCACTGGAACACCTTACCCTAAGCAGATACCCTCATCTTATTTCACTTCCTGTCTGTCTTATCATGCGTTATTGGCGTTTCATTAGCTCGGCGCATAGCGGGACACAAGCTGGCGTTATGATAATTACTCTCGCCCTCCCCAGTTTTGTTCGCAGTCTCTACGCGGAGGTGGAGAAATTCGGGAACGAGTATGGATGTTTTAGCGGAACAAGTCAAAAGGCTCCCTCAGAGCTTGGGATAAGATTTGGAGCATAAAACTGACAATGGCGCCTCTATTTCTCTTCCTCATGCCTTCGCAGTCCCTCTATATACCAGTCCATGTACCCTCTGATACTCCTATACAACGCTTTCACACTTAGAAACCCACATCCAACCAATACCCCGTACTCCCCTTCCCCTTGTAAAACTGCGTGAACGCACCTACTGCCGACCTATCATCCCTCATGTTAGCAGATGCCACCAAGTTTACCAGTCGTAATCACGTACCCCTGCAACTGCTCCTTATCCTTAGCCTTCTGCCAGTCCTTCCATCGCTCCTTCTCAGGCAGCGTCGCATCCCGCCAGCGTTCCTTCCCTGGTTCAACGGATTTGGAACGGCGGGTACCAGAATGAATGTGCAGTTTTGAACGCCAGGAATGTGAGGAGGAGGGACGTTCTGGTGTTGATGGAGGGGGTTTTGATGTGGATGTGGATGTGGATGTTGTGGATGCGCTTGTTACGTTTACGAGAGGGGCTATGGAATTGTTGCTATCTTTCTCGGTGCACGGTCCTGGGACTTGGAGTTTGGATGGGTCTGTCATTGTGGGGATGATGTGTATGTAGGTCAAGGGGAAGAAGTGCGGAGATGGAGTGATGGCGACAGTGGGGAGGGTATATGGTGGGATGAGAGGAGAACAGGTTTTCACTGTATCACAGCGCTTACTATCTACTCAATATCGGTAGGGTATCAGTTATTGATCACTGGTTGTGGCTGTGAAATCTCACTGTCTGTGAGACGGGCGTAAGGCGTCCTTAGGGCTGAGTCCACTAGCCGCCCCCGATCTTGCGGTTAGTGTGGCGCTGTGGCTGTGGCTGTATCGGACCGACATGCGATCTGCAAACTGTATACACTTGATGCATACATTTCCTACTGACCATACACTACTTTACTCTGCCAAGTCCACCTCATCAAGATTCTTCCGTATAAACTTCGTCACAGCATCCAATCCCTCCTTGACAATGTCCGTCTGATTGACAAACCCAATCCTGACGTACCCCTTGAACTCTTCACCAAAACAAGTACTACCAGGCACAAACATAACGCCCGTAGCCTCAAGTAACTTCTTGCAAAAGTCCACAGAGTCCACGGCCTTGCCTTCTCGGTGGAACTTGACGAAAGCCGTAGTACCAGCCACAGGCTTCACCCACTCGCACTCATCCTCGTTCTTGAGTTGGAACTTCTCCAGAAGAGCCAGGTTGGTTCTCGCGAGTTGGATGTTGCGAGCTAGTAGACTGTGCACTGTTGATGAGTGGAGAGCGTAGGCGGCGATGGCTTCGTCAAAGTAGGACACGGAGATTGTGGTGTAGTGCCGTGCTGAAGCGATCTTTTCGATGATTTCAGAGCTGCGAGATGCTATCCAGCCAATGCGAATACCGGCGAGGGAATAGGCTTTTGACATGGAGCCTGTGACGATGACGTTCTTGTAGCCCATGGACAGAAGGGAGGGTGGGAATTCTTTGTCTATGGGGATGATGGAGTGGAATAGAGGGCGATAGACTTCGTCGCTCATGATGGTGATGTCCTTTTCGGTCGCGATGTCAATGAGTTCTTGGAGGAAGGTCTTGCCTAGGATGGCTCCAGTGGGGTTGTTGGGGTTGTTGATGATGATGAGCTTGGTGTTGGGCTTGATGAGCGACTTCAAGTCATCGATCGTTGGTACCCATTTGTTCTCTGGAGTAGCTTTCCATAGGTCGACTTCGGCACCCAGTTGCTTGGGTACCTCGTAGAGGGACTGGTAGGTGGGGTAGTGGCAGATGACATGGTCTCCCGGTCCGACGAGGGAGTAAGCAGTCAGGTAGTTTGCTTGGATGGCGCCAGGAGTGATGAGGATGTTATCTGGAGAGAGGGGGTTTGCGACCTTGGCAGAATATAGTCTTGCTAAGTTGTTGCGCAGGTCGTCACTTCCTCTGATGGCCCCGTAGTTCAGGACACGCGAGGTATCGAAAACCGGCTGATCTTTGTTCTCTGACAGCTCGCGTAGCTGATCGACGGAAATTGAGGCACAACACGTCTCGGCGATGTTGTACTTGCATTTCGTCTCGTACGCATCCATCCACTGGAATTGTTAGTCATTTCCCCACGTGGAGTGCGAGATGCGGGGAATGGACGTACGGACTCGACGGCGAATTCTTCGATTTTGACCATTGCGGCTTGCAATGCAGAGGATGTTTTGTGATAGGTGGAAAACCGCAAAGAAAGATTAGTTGAAATAGTTTGGAAGTCTCAAGGCTCTGGGGATTGACATAGGGCGCACATGATAGCCTCTCGAGGTTCCGCTGAAGCGGGCGAGCTAGTTGCTAGAGCGCTCCGACGGCTAGGTTGGGCTGGCAAGAGCGCGTCGCCGCTGATGGCGCGCGATCACGTTGATCAGCGCGTTGCCAGAGACGAGGCTACTAGTCGCGTGATGTATATCCGTGAATGCTCTTCTGCATGCTGTGCGAGATATCGATGATGACGAAGACCATGTTGCATGCATCACCTATTGGCGTGTGCCTCGGTCTAGCGGTCCGCCATGGTGCTTGGCTGGAGACAGGCCAGCCTCCACGAATCAGCGTCTCCGCAGGCCGATGATAGCAGCACTGCCATCATCTGGCCACCCGTTGCTACCTGTTGTCCCTCGTCACCATCGCGAGCTGCCCAGCTCTTGCCGTTCCTTTGACTTTGACAGTCACCTTCCGTCTCGTCACGTTACTCCTGAAAGAAGCAGGCACACGACAATCTAGATAGCTATCGCATAGCTCGTCCCGCGCCGCAAACAAGACGCGATGCGCCAGCGAACCTGGGCGACGTCGCTCGCCGCCTTGCTGGGCCTGGCATCGACGGCGACGGCCCACAAGACGTTCGCCAACTACACCCTCGCCGATTCGCCACAGGATCTCTTCTCCATCTACGGCGACCGACCCGATGGCTGTCCGCCATGCTTCAACTGCAACCTGGAAGACTTCAAGTGCAAGCAGTTTGCTGACTGCAGCAAAGCGAACGGGAGGTGCAACTGTGGACCCGGATTTGGAGGCGAGGACTGCTCAGAGCCCCTCTGCGGCGCCCTGCCCGATGGCAAGAACCGCTCACCACGCGGAGGCGCAAAGGAGTGCGAATGCTCAGAGGGCTGGTCTGGCATCAACTGCAACGTCTGCCAGACCAACGATGCCTGCAACGCTATGATGCCGGATGGAGAGGGCGGCGTCTGCTACAAGGACGGCCAGCTGGTCAAGGAGAACTTCCAGATCTGCGACATTACCAACAGAAAGATCCTCGACACGTTGAAGGAGAAGAAACCGCAGGCGACCTTCTCTTGCAATGCCGAGTCGGAGGAATGCAACTTCCAATGTAAGCTTCATACCCTCCACCCTTCATTCCCAGCTAACCATCGCAGTCTGGGTCGACCAAAGGGAATCCTTCTACTGCGCCCTCGACACATGCTCCTCCCACTTCACCGCCGAATCCGACCGCAACATCACGAAATACCGATGCGAGAACATCAAGTGCGAATGTGTCCCTGACAGGATGCTCTGCGGAGAGGATGGCTCCGTCGACATTGGCGACTTCTTGAAGGAGTCCATCAAAGGTCCCGCTGAATTCAGAGGCATCTCAGCTATCAACAGCAAAGACAGCGGAAGCATCTTCTCGGAACCTGCCATGAACGACCTAATCTCGAGCATCTTCGGCGACGAAAGCATCTTCCTGCAATGCGACACGGGCGAGTGTCTATACCAGACGGAAGTGCCAGGCTACGAGAGACCCATCAAGAAGATCAACACTCCGTTGATCGCTGGCGTCATTGCAGGAATCGCACTATTCATCGTGGCGGCTATCTTGGCCATCTGGTACATTACCCACCGCGCTGAGAGCCATCGATACGGTCCCATCCACCTGTCGGACGATGAGGAGGACGAGGATGCGAAATTGCTCGCCGACCACAAGCCAGCTTCATTCCTCTTTGAGAACGTCGCCTACAATCTGAAAGGAAAGCAGATTTTGTCTGGCATCTCTGGTGCTGTCCACCCCGGAGAGCTCTTGGCCATCATGGGTGCCTCTGGTGCTGGAAAGACTACCTTCCTTGATATTCTGGCCCGCAAGAAGAAGATTGGAACCGACAGTGGCGATTTCTATATCAATGGCGAGAAGGTCCGCGATGACGAGTTCAGAAGCGTCATTGGTTTCGTCGACCAGGAAGACACCCTTTTGCCTACCTTGACTGTCCACGAGACGATTCTCGACTCTGCATTGTTGCGCCTGCCCAAGGAGATGAGTCGCATTTCCAAGGAGCAAAAGGTTGAAGACGTCGAACGCCAACTCGGTATCTACCATATCCGCAACCAGAAGATTGGCTCTGAGGAAAGTGGTCGTGGAATCTCCGGTGGTGAGAAGCGTCGTGTCGGTATTGCCTGCGAACTTGTTACCTCGCCCAGCATCCTCTTCTTGGACGAGCCCACAAGTGGCCTGGACGCCTACAATGCTTTCAACGTCGTCGAGTGCCTTGTCAACCTGGTCAAGAACTACAACCGAACTGTCGTCTTCACTATTCACCAGCCACGCTCCAACATTGTCGCTCTCTTCGACCAACTGATACTGCTTGCGAAGGGCAGAGCTGTCTACTCTGGACCATTCGAGAACTGCCAGAACTACTTCGACGAGCTCGGCTACACCTGCCCACCTGGTTTCAACATTGCCGATTACATCGTGGATCTGACCATGCACGCGAGCACAGCACGGAAACCCATCGACGAAGACAGTTCACTCTTCAACCGTGATCTTAACCGCGACGGACTCACTACAAGCGCAAGCAGCGCAATTGCTGTCAAGTCCATTCCTAGCATCAACACATCGGAGCTTGAACGAGACATTGCTGGTAGTCCCAGCAATTCTAGCATACTGCGACCCAAGAGCAAGAGGAGGACGTCTATCAAGCAGCAGCAAGAACGCGAGCTATTCACGAGGAAGAAGAACACTGCTTCTGTTAACGACGGTGCAATGTCTCCCAAGACTGATGACGAAGCTCCCTACGATCGCCGAGGCGCTATCAAGGCCCAATGGATGAAGCTCACTCGTCAACAAGGCGGCGTGCCCCCTCAAATACTCGAAGACCCTGATGAGCTCCCGCCTCCTGCCAATGGCGCGACTGGAACCAACCTTGACCTCCTGATCAACGCCTATGCATCCTCCGACATTGCAGCTAGGATCCGCGACGACATTGCTAGCTCGGTAGCCAGCGCAAATCAAGCCAACGGCACCAACGGAGTGCAACAGCCAAACGGTTTCGTCGCAGCAGGAAAGCTCAAGGGCTTCAGGAAGGTCGGTCTCTTTGGCCAGTTCAGAATCTTGTCTCGACGAACCTGGCGCAACCTCTACCGCAACCCCATGCTCATGCTTACCCACTACGCCATCGCCATTGTCCTCGCTGTCTTCCTCGGTTTCCTCTTCTACGGTCTCACAGACGACATCAAGGGTTTCCAGAACCGCCTCGGTCTATTCCTGTTCGTCCTGTCACTCTTCGGCTTCAGCAGCTTGACCATCCTCACCGTCTTCGCCCCCGAAAGACTC